AGAGATCCGCCTGCCTCTGCCTCCCGAGTGCTGGGATTAAAGGCGTGCGCCACCAACGCCCGGCCTTAAATGTCTCATTCTTAATGCACTTGACTGGTCTAGAGAGATGGCTAAGGAGTTAAGATTGTTTGTTCTGCAAACATGAAGACTGTAGTTCATTCCTAGGATCTACAAAAAAGCCAGGTGCCAGGCAGATCTCTGTGAGTTCGAGCTCAGCCGGGTCTACAGAGTGAGTTCCAGGACAGCCAGGGTTACACAGAGAAATCCTGTCTCAGAAAAAAAAAAAATCAAAGCCAGGTGCATTCCCAGCACTGAATAAGGTGGGCACAAGAGGATCACTGGGGTTTGCTGACTTCCAGCCTATGCCAGAAGTGCAAGCTTCAGATTCAGTTAGACTCTGCCTCAAAGGAGGAACACAAAGAAGGATGGAGGACAGCCGATGTCTTCCCTTGGCCGCCATGTGAACACAGGTGCCCTTTCTTGTACATGAAATTACCCACACACCATACTCCTAAAATAATGAACTCACTTCCGTACCCACTGGCATGCCTGCTTAGCACAACCCTCTACCAGTCAATTAATCTCTTGCATGCCTGCGACTCCCCTCTGGTTGAAGCATTCATGTGTGGACGCAGGTGCCACATGCATGCAGAGACCAGAGCAGGACATTGGTGTCTTCCTTATAGCCTTGAGACAGGGTCTGCTAATGAACTGGAAGCTTGACATTTTGGCTAGTGTGGCTGGCCAACCTCTGGATCCATTTATCTTTATCACCAATTCTGGGCTTACAAGCATATGCAGCCATGCTTTTTGCTTTTTGCATAGCTACTGAGGTTTTGAACTCAGGTCTTCATGCTGGCAGAGGAAGCCATCTTACCCATAAAGCCTTCTCCCCAACCTCGTATGTTTTTTTAAATGGTTTCTCTGTGTAGCCTTGGCTATCCTGGAACTCACTTTGTAGCTGAGGCTGGCCTTGAACTCACAGAGATCCACCTGCCTCTCTGTCTTACAAATGCTGGGATTAAAGGCCCACCACGCTGGCCAATTTCTTTTTTTCTTTTTTTTTTTTTTCCCCCGAAACAGGGTTTCTCTGTGTAGTTTTTGTTCCTGTATCTCGCTCTGTAGACCAGGCTGGCCTTGAACTCACAGAGATCCGCCTGCCTCTGCCTCCTGAGTGCTGGGATTAAAGGTGTGTGCCACCACTGCCTGGCTTGTTTGTTTTTTTGTTTGTTTGCTGGCCACTTTCTTTACTTCAGTCCTATGATAACTTTGCCTCTCCAATTTTGTCCTTTTTTTAAAATTTTTTTTTAAAGATTTATTTACTTATTGTACATACAGTGTTCTGTCTGCATGAGTCCTTGCAGGCCAGAAGAGGGCACCAGCTCTCATTACAGATGGTTGTGAGCCACCATGTGGTTGCTGGGAATTGAACTCAGGACCTCTGGAAGAGCAGTCAGTGTTAACCTCAAAATTGAAATCCTCCTACTTCTCAAATTCTGAGTTATAGCTATGTGCTTAAAAAAAAATTGTAATTGATTCTTTGAGAATTTCACCTGATGGACCCCAACGCCCCTCATGTCCGAGTCTTTCCATATCTGCCCTCCTCCCTTGTAACCTCCCCACAAAAGAAAAAAAAAGCCAACCATCTTGCCGACCCCTCTGGGCATGACCTGCTCCTGTCCACTCAGCCCCTCCCTCTCACGTCACGGCTGTCACGTCTCCAGTTCCGCTGTGTGTGGACCACTCTGCTCCTCCGGTCTCCCCCGTCTCTCCATCACGTATTTGTTAGTTGTACTGGCACCGGAAGCTGCGGTGTGTCATGCCATCTACCCTTTTGCCCAAACATCTTAGTTACAAATGTTCACTGCAGTGAGTTGTTGGTCTGGTTCCAGGCCTCTGGCTTCTCCTACACCGTCAACACTGGACCCTCACCCAGACGCCTCTCGGATATCCTGTTGCCCAGAGCCAGGGAGATCCTGCAGCTATGGTTCTGCAGGACTGGGCCCCACACAAGTTCCAGCAGCTCATAGATGGGATAGATACTGGCGTAGGCCAGCTCAAAGCCTGGGGGGAGCTGTGTTAATTAGCCCACCGGCTCTCCTGTGCCCACACCCAGATGCCAGCTCTCCCTCACTGCCCAGGTGAGGGGTGGGCCAGCTCAGCAAGGCCCTGGGATGTCACCATGGCTTCAGACAGCAGCCCAGACCACAGACATCCAAATGGCCTTGGGTGGTAACACAAGCCTTGTTACATCAACATCAGCACAGGCCCCAGCTGCGGGAGGGCCAAGGACTCAGGCATGGCCTCAGGTGGTAGTGCAGGCCTCTCACATCAGGACGCCTCGGGCCTCCAGTTTCACCCTCTTCCTGACGCCCAGGTTGCTCCACCTCTCTCTCCCATCTCTCCACCACATACTTACTCATCATAGTCACTCACATGGGGTCTCACAACTCTAACTCCAGTTCCAGGAGACTCATACTTTCTTTTGTTGTTTGGTTTTGTTTGTGGATTTTGGTTTTTGTTTATTTTTTTTCAAAAAGGGTATCACTATGTATCCCAAGCTGGCCTTGAATCCAGAATTTCAGTTTCTGCCTCAGTGGGTACTTAAGTGCCAGGAGTTGAATCTACAGCCTCTCACATGCCAGGCAAATAAATGAGATTACGAGCTATACACCAGCTTCTTTTTTCTTCTTCGAAGTTGACCAGGCAGGCACCAAACCTGCGGTAAGAGAATCGGTTTGGCCTTCACAGCAGTGAGGATTACCAGGTCCAATTCCAGGCCAGCTCAGCACACATCCACATAATGCTCCAACCAAAGAGAAATACTTCTCCATTTTCTTTTCTCCTTTTTAGTTTTTCTGGCAAATTCCTGCTTTTCTTGCAGAACTTAGGATCTCTTGATTTTGAATGTCTCCCTTTAGTCTTGGCCGGACTCAGTCTCCACATCCCACTGTTTTAGCCTCCCAAGTACCAGGATTATATGCACACACCACTACAACTGGCCGTGATTGCTTATCTTACATCACCTGCCTTATACGCCAACAGAACAGTCGGGAATGACAGATGCTTGAGATGGGGCTGGAAAAATCCTTAGTCAGTAAACTACTTACTGCGTAAGCATCCAGCCCTGAGTTAGATTCCTAGCACTCATTAAGAAGCTGGGTGTTGCCGGGCGGTGGTGGCGCACGCCTTTAATCCCAGCACTCAGGAGGCAGAGGCAGGCGGATCTTTGTGAGTTCGAGGCCAGCCTGGGTTACCAAGTGAGTTCCAGGAGCTACACAGAGAAACCCTGTCTCGAAATAAAAAAAAAAAAAAAAAAAAAGCAGCTGGGTGTTAGTGTGCACTTGTGACCCCAGGGCTAGGGAAGCACAAGCAGTGAGACCCCTGGAGCTCACTGGCCAGACATCAGTGAGCCAGCATAGTTGACCTCCACGCACCTGTACACACACCCATACATTCCTATCCAATGTTTGAGAAGAACAGGTTGTAAAGAGGACTAGGAGGTGGTTTGTGAGATGAGCCAACAATGTGCAGGGCAGGACCGAGAGCCTGAGAGTTTTGAAAACACAACTTACAGAAACATACAGTGTGGAGAGCCTTTTGGCATCGGGAACATTAATTTAATCCAAAATTAATAGTTTAGCTTGGCAGCTGCAATGAAACCATCACGAAGCAAGAACTCATGCCAGGCAGTGGTGGTGGATGACTTTAGACCCAATACTGGGGAGGCAGAGGTAGGCAGATCTCTGAGTTCAAGGCCAGCCTGGTCTACAGAGTGAATTCCAGGGCTACACAGCAAAACGGTGTTGAAAAACAAGAAGAATCAAGAACTCAAGGTAGGGTTGGAGAGATGGCTTGGCGATTTAGAGAACTGGCCGCTTTCCCAAAGGACCCACATGGTGGCTCACAACTGTCTAACTCCAGTCCCATAGGACCCATACTCTTCTGGTCTTGATGGGCATCAGGCACACACATAGTGCACGGACCCAAAACATCCATATAAATAAGAAAGAAAAGGGACTGGAGAGATGGCTCAGGGGTTAAGAGCACTCACTCACTGCTCTTCCAGAGGACCTGGGTTCAATTCCCAGCACCCATATGGCAGCTCACAACTGTCTAACTCCAAGATCTGACATACATGCAGGCAAAACACCAATACACAATTTATTTATTATACAAATAAATGCAATCCTCCTTTAAAGAAAAAAAAAAAAACACCTCAGATAAGTGGTGGCCCACACCTTTAATCCCAGCACTTGGGGAGACACAGGAAGATGATTTCAGTGAGTTCAAAGCCATCCTGGTCTATACATATTGAGTTCCAGGCCAGCTAGGGCTCCACATTAAGATCCTGCCTCAAAACAAAGCAAAAACCTCATGTAAGAATGTGGCTGAAAATGAACAACTCGATTCTGTTTTCTTCCCAGCTTTTCAAACCCCTAGGCGCCGGTGTAGACCTCGAGTATGGACTTTTTTACAGAGACTAGAGGTAGAAATTTGTACTTTATCTGGAGCCGGCACACTTTTCCCCTTGGCCCCTCTTTGCTCTGCCACCACGATGATAGGAAAGTTGTGTTTCGGGGGGGGGGGGCAGAGGAACTGCCCTGTGGTGTTATGTCCTCACAGTGCCTGTCTGTAGTGGTGCTACAGGAAGCTGCTGCCTCTTCCCGGGCAGGCGGGCAGCCCTGCCTTCCTTCTTGGCTGGAGAGTACGTTCAGGGATTCCCCCTTAATGATCACCAACCCTCGGAGCACGTTTTAGTTTCCAAAATGAGAATATAATCCTCAAAATAAAATAAAATAAAAGGATGTGGCTGAAAGCCGGGCAGCGGTGGTGGCGCACACCTTTAATCCCAGTACTTGGGAGGCAGAGGCAGGCAGATCTCTGTGAGTTTGAGGCTAGCCTGGGCTACAGAGCGAGTTCCAGGACAGCCAGGGCCACCCAGTAAAACAAAGTTCGGGGCTGAAATATGGAATGTGGACTCTAAATTATCTAGAGAAATAAGCTAGAAACAAAACCAGAGACTGGGGGACGGGTTGCAAGTCTCGGTTGCAGGGAAGAACAAGTTTAGTGGATGACGAAGTGGAAAGCGCGGTATCTTAGGGTCTCTACTGCTGTGACCAAAAACCACAGCCACAGGGAACTCGGGGAGGAAAGGTTTTATTTCACTTTACAGCTTGTAGTTCATATTCCAGAGAGCTCAGGGCAAAACTCAAGGGAGGGACCTAGAGGTAGAAACTGCTTTGGAGGCCATGGAGGAATGCTGCTCACTGGCTGCTCCCCATGGCTTGTCCAGCCTGCTTTCTTTAGCACCCAGGACCACAGTGCCAAGAGCGAGTGGGCCCTCCCACACCAATCAAGAAAATGCCCCCCAGGCTTGCCCCCAGGCCAATCTGGTGGGGGCATTTTCTCAGCTGAGGTTCCTTCTTCCCAAGTGACTAGCTCATGTCCTTTACATAAAACTAGCCAGCATAGGCAGGAAGGTGTGTTCGGAGTTCTTAGGAGATCTTGTGGGGCAGACTTGGGTGTGACCGGTGCAGGCCTCCAGTCTGAACACTCAGGAGGCAAAGGCAAGAGGGCTGGAATTTTTTCTTTGTGTATGTTGTGTATTTGCACATGTACGTGAGGGTTCACATGCATGTGGAGGTCGGAGAAGGAAATTGGATGACTTCTACCTTTGTATTCTTTTTTTTATTGCTGTGATAAAATGTTTTTATTGTGTTCTGACAAATAAAGCTTGCTTGGAGTCAGAGGGCAGAGCTAGCCACTAGTTAGCCATAGCAGTCTGGAGGTCTGCACAGAGAGGAAACAGGAACCGACAAGGTGGGGCAGAGGCAGGATCTCAGCCCTCTGAGGAAGGAACAGAAGGGGCAGGAAGTCACTGGTGGCTGCTCCCCTGCTTCTCTGATCTTTCAGGTTTTTACCCAATATCTGACTCCTAGTTTTTTTTTTTTTTTTTTTTTTTTTTTTGGTTTTTTCGAGACAGGGTTTCTCTGTGTAGCTTTGTGCCTTTCCTGGAGCTCACTTGGTAGCCCAGGCTGGCCTCGAACTCATAGAGATCTGCCTGGCTCTGCCTCCCGAGTGCTGGGATTAAAGGCGTGCGCCACCACGCCCGGCCTCTGACTCCTAGTTTTTATTCATAAGATTAATTAGACTTACACATCAATAATACCATAACCAAGGCAACCTACAGAAAAAAGTTTATTTGCACTTACAGTTCCCGAGGGTCGTGTCCTGAACTGCGATTAGGAACCGGAGCAGCCTCTCAGTGCCTGCCCCCAGTGCCACTCTCCTCAAGACCACACTGCGAAAACCTCCCCAAACACTGCCACCAACTACGACAATGTGGGGCATTTCATTCAAACCACCAACCTTGGGTGATTTTTGTTTTGAGACCGAGTCTCTTATTAAACCTGAACCTCTTCCAAAATGATTATGCCATTGGTGACTTATCAAGCCCTACCAGAGAGTATGACCCTGCCGGCACTGAAGTTCCAAATGCTATTGGAATTCAGCTTTATAACCAGTAAGATAAAGAATTACCCAGAGTACACCACAGTAAGGAGATGCACCCAGTACTGCTCATCACCGATGGCTGTGGGATAATTGCACACTGTGAAAATGTATTGATGTGATTGGTGTAATAAAAGACTGAAAGGCCAATAGCTAGGAAAAGGTTAGGCAGGACTTCCAGGGACAGAGAGGACTTGGGAAGAAGAAGGCAGAATCGCCAGCCAGACTTGGAGGAAGCAGCGTGGGATTAGGTAATGAGCCACTCAATAGACTTACATTAAAATAAATGGGCTAAGTTATAAGAGCTAGTTAGGAACAAGCCTAAGCTATAGGCTGAACTTTCATAAGAAGTCTTATTGGTTTAAAATTAAGACAACTCCACGTAGTTAAAAGGGAGGTTTATTTTGTGGGGTAACTTACAAGTGAAGGGATAGGTTACAGGGTCCGGGAAAGGTGTAGCGTAGTCCAGCGGTGTTCTCTGGAGAATTCTACTCAGTGTACCTCCAGCGTACAGGATCCAGGAACCAAGAGAGCTGGCCCATCCAGATCTTGCGTCTTCAGGGGTCCCTCTCGGCTCTGCCTTGTAGGCGTGACAGTTAACGAAGCCTCAGTGGGGGTGGCACTTCCAAGTCAAAGCTGGAATGGCTACCCACTACAAAGTCTCTGTGTTGGTATTTGGGAGCTGGCTGGCTGGACAGAAAAAGACTTGTTACAACTGCTCATCACCTGGCCCTAGTTAGGTAGTTTGGTAACAACTCCATCTCTCATCGTGAATATAAGGCAAACCAATTTGTTCAATGTACCAGGCTCCCAAATCATGACACAGAGACTTATTATTAGTTTTGAATGCTTGGCCTGGCTTAGTCACATTTCTGGCTAGCTCCTTTAACTCAATCTGTTTCTCTTTATCTACCTTTTGCCCCAGGGCTTATTACCTTTCTTCCTTCTGTACATCTTGCTTTCACTGCTTCTGTATGGCTGACATCTCCCTCATTCTCTCTTCCTTCTTCCTTCCTCTTCTCCTGAGCCTAGATTTCTCCTATTTATTCTCTCTCCCTGCCAGCCCCACCTATCCTTTCTCCTGCCTAGCTATTGGCTGTTCAGCTTTTTATTAGATCAATCAGGTGCCTTAGGCAGGCAAGGTGAAACAGATGCAACACATCTTTACATAGTTAAACACACATCCTTACGTCATTAAACAAATGCTGCATAAACAAAAGCAACACCCTTTACACAGTTAAAGTCATATTCTTCGGTGTAAACAAATGTAACACATCAATGCCTAGTTAAAATAATATTCCACAACAGTTCAGGGCACATGTATTTCAACTGCCCCGTACATACAAGAACACCAAGTTCTAAAAATAAAGAGATAAATTAGTCTCGGAAGGAGTTCAACATTACAAAGGCGACACCCGAGAGACACCAGCACAGCGAGATAAAGTGATGTAAAGGAACCTGGGAGGAGAGGCACAGAGGGACCTCCGTGAAAACTGTCATCGCACTGTTCGGAGTGGAGTTCTCTAGTCAGGTAAGCAGAGAATGTCAGAGTGAGCAGTCTACACAGGGAGAATACACAGGATTAAGAAATGACATCCAAGGTTTCTAGTTGAACCAGACAGTACTCCGGAAAGTTAGTATACTGGAGAAGTATTAGGCTATGGCTCTGTGAGACCTCATGTTAAGCATTGCACATAAAAATTGGAGCTTGTTAGAAACAGTGCGGTGTAGAGATGGCTCAGTGGTTAGAGTGCTTGGTGCTTGCTCTTCCAGAGGACCTCAGTTTTTCGTTCCCAGCACCCACATTCGGCAACATGTAACTACCTGTAACTCAAGTTACAGGGGAACCAATATCCTTTTCCGGCCTCCTTGGGCACCCACACACATGGAGCATGCATGCATGCATACACACACACACACACACACACACCTTTTTGAGGCCAGATGAGGCTGCAGAGATCCTGTCTCAATAAAACCTCCAACCAACCAACCACAAAACCTGATGCGTGGCACCTTCTTTCCTGAGGTACCGCGTTTTCAACAATCCCTCCAGCAGCAGTTTGAAAAATGTTCCTGGGGGGTAGGGAGGTGGGGGTGGATCGGAGACTACCAAGATGGTTGACAAGATGGTTGATGGTATGGGGCCTTCCCACCAAGAAAACGGTGGAAACTCGTATGCAAAGATAACAAGGGAAGAAGTCAGGGGAGCTTGCTATTAGAGCGGTTCTAACAGAAGCTTTGATTTCTGGCTCCAGTGGGTAGGTCATCAGCAGAAGATGACTCCACACATCTTGCGTTACTCTTACCTACAAAACTCCATCAGGCCTGCCCCTGTCATGCAAGCGTTGAGGGCTTGCAGTCCCAGCTACCCACCAAAGCTGAGGCAGGAATGTTGCCTCAACTGGGCTTCAAAGCCAGACTGGGCAATAGAGCAAGACCCTGTCTCGAGGGAAGCAACAAGGACCAAGCCAAAGCCACTGTGTCAGACTCAGCCCCAACTTCCTAGAATCTCACTGCCTCAGGACGATGGGTGGATCAGAAATCGGAGGAGTGGGTAAGAGAAGGGATGCTTGTGATTTCCTCCAGTACTTGCTTGCCCTCGGAGAGAAAACTTTGTCAGCTTCCTCCCATTTTGCTCCACGTTGCCAAGTGAGTCAGTGCTCAGAGGGAACCCTCCAAGGCCTGAGCCCAGAGAGCAGTCAACGTTTTCAAAGTAACCTGCAAAATTAGGGGGAAGGCCAAACGTCCCACACGGACCTACATAGGAACAAAATGATGGAAGCTAGGTATGGAGATGGGTACCTAGAAACTCCGAAGGCGGAGACTGGAAGAGAAACTCGGGAGAGACCCCGAGTTCGAGGTCAGCTGGGATTCCTGGTTTAAAAAACTAAAATCCTACCTCCGATTAAAAACAGCCGTGTCAGCCAAGGCCGGTGGTGGCGCACGGCTTTAGTCCCGGCACTCGAGAGGCAGAGGCAGGCGGATCTCTGAGTTCGAGGCCAGCCTGGGCTACAGAGCGAGTTCCAGGGCAGCCAGGGCTACACAGAAAAACCCGGTCTCAGAAAAAACAAAACCAAAACCAAACCAGCCCTGTCAATCCACCCAATACGCGGGGTGAAGCGGCAAACTGCAGGTGCCCCTCGCCCAGCTCCCGCAGACCCGTGGCTGCCAGTGACCGGGTCTGTGATGTCCGAAAGCCTGGGAAGGACACCTTGAGCAGGTGCTGGAGGCCACAGGACCCTGGCACGGGAACACGGCATAAACCCTCGCCCCGCCCAGGTAGGGGCGACTCTCCGCATCGGGGCCAGCCTCGGCAGCCCGGGACCGACCGGTCCCGCCTTCGGCCGCCCGCCCGCGCTCCCACTCCCCGGCCGTCTCTTTCCGGGCAGCCCGGGGCCGCGCAAGCCCGCGTGGGAAGCCGCCGCCCGCGGCCGGCGCACGAGCATCAAGCTGAGTTCTCCGGAGAGAGGAGCCTTCCCGGAGCTGAGGTCCCTGCCGGCGAAGGCGGAAGTGGTAAGGACTGACGTGTCCGGGCTGCGGTGCTGCTCGCCGGGAAGAACACTTGCATCGCCCGCGGGCTCGGGGACGGAGCCTGGCGGAGTCGCTAGCGGGGGGCCCGACCGCTGGCGAGCCGGAGCTGTCTGGGGAGCCTCCGAGCGAGCCGAGGGCGGACGGCGGCGGCGTGGCCGCAGCCGCGGCGATCAGGCGCCGAGGCGGACAACCCCGAGGAGGTCCGCCGTCAGGTCCCCGCCGAGCCTACTGCTCCGGCGCCGCTCTCCGGGAAGCCGGGCAGAAGCCCAAGGGCAGCTACGGGGGCCTGCGAGGCCGCTGGCGCCTCTTTGGCCAGCCGGTCCCTTGCAGCGAGGGTCCCGAAGCTGCGGCGGGTGCCTCTGCGGGAGCAGCGAGCCCAGCCCGCCGGGCGTTGCCATAGAAACGGGTTGGCTCGCGCAGCAGAGGTTCCCGGGGTGGGTGGGGGGGAGGCCTGCGAGAGGCGTGAACCCCAGGTTGGGAGGACTGTCGAGCGCACACGACCGAGCCCCCACCCCGTCTTTGGGATAGAAGTCTTGTGGTGCGGGGATCGGGAGGCCAATGGGAGGAGGTGGAGCCAATGGGCGCTTGAGAGACCAGACCCGGGGCGTCACGATTTGATACCTAGTTTCTGTAACCACGGGATTCCCCCAACAGGTCCTGCTGCCTTAAAGATGACAGTCCTAGGGCACCCTCGAAGGTGGAGCTGCCAGTGTTTGCCAGTCCTGATACTGTTGCTGGGCACAGGCCCTGGGCCAGGGGTGGAAGGTGTGACACACTACAAGCCCGGCGACCCTGTCATTCTATATGTCAACAAAGTGGGGCCCTACCACAACCCCCAGGAAACTTACCACTACTATCAGCTGCCAGTCTGCTGTCCTGAGAAGATCCGCCACAAAAGTCTTAGTTTGGGTGAAGTACTGGATGGGGACCGAATGGCCGAATCTTTGTACGAGATCCGCTTTCGGGAGAATGCGGAGAAGAGAATTCTGTGTCACATGCAGCTCAGTTCTGCACAGGTCAGCTCTCCACATTAGTTATCACTTAGCGCCCCCCCCCCCTTGCCAGAGACTAGCAGTGCCTTGCATTTATGGTACCTTTATGGAAACTATCTGTTTGGACTCTAACCGCAACCCAGTGCTTAGATGTTCAGAACGGACTTTTCAAGATTACGTGGATACTGAGAGGCAGAACTGATATTAGAGTCCAGGGCTCCTCACTCCAGATTTCTCTGTCAGTAACAGGTCCTACTTAAGACTGTGTGTAATTCTCTTTCCTTCCATACACACCTTGGCTCTCTCCCAGCTCCTTTACTTTCTAACGGTTTTTTCTTTTGCAAGTCCTGGCACTTCTTAATCAATTCCAGTCTTTCTTCACACTTTGCCCCAC